AAATCAAATGTTGGAGAAAATCAGTTTCCTAACTTCTGTTGTTTGCAGGTCACTCTGAAAAGTATAAAATATCAGCATTCTATAGAACCAAGTTTAATAACATTTCATGGTGCACACTTCACTTACTGTTTCTTTAAAATAATGGTTTTTAAGTTGCTGTGCTTATGCATCTTCTCTAGCCAACCCCTTAAAAGTTCTATTTCATTGTTTCTGGCTATGAGTATGCATTACAGTTTATCCACCGTGATGCTACTGAAATGTTCAAATGATAGACACTGTGCATGTGTGGTCTCAAAGCTGTATTTCTAAGGCTTTACTATGCAATGGGAAAATGTGATTTCCTCTTAAAAATCTAAGATGAATAGTGAATTGTTTATATTTGTTCCTATTTGATTAGATTGTTAACTTTACTGTGGTTGGTCCTTCTCTCTTAGTCTCATTTGAATCTGAGCTTTTCCCCTTTGTGGATGGTTTATCACCAGTTACTAACCTCCCCATCCTGTCCACACCCACTGCTCAACTCTTCATCTTCCTGAAACTTCTCTCAAACTTCCAGGAGGAAAAAAATCTCATCAGATTATACTATCTCAGAAAGCCTTTATTTCTCCATCAAACTTGAAGGACACTCTTTTAGGATGCAGTAACACAGGTTGGTAAATATCACATTCCAGTGTTTTAAACATGTCATTCCCAGTCTTCCTACTTGTAAAGTTTGTGTTGAGAAGCGTGCTTTTATTCTGGCTGGTTAGCCACTGTAAGTGGTTTAGCATTTCTTTCTACTTTTAATATTCTTCATTCTGAGCATTCAACAGCTTGACTAAGATAAGTTATAGGAATCTCTCCTCTCTTTATGATTATTTCCTATACTATCTGGATGTCTATGCTATTTCTCAAAGTAAGGACATATTTCCTTGCAGATGAATGGAGATAATTTAAAACTTGTGTGAAAATATCTCCAGTTTCACTAAACTAGAATCAGACAGGAAGACAAGATGATAGGATAGGTTACCAGAAAATATGCTTTGAGAATATTTATATATAGCAAGAGAAAAAGGAGGAAGCAGAGACCTGAGAGGGTGTGAAAGGAAAAAGAATGAGGGAAAAAGGGAAAGGAATATCAATGGAAAGTGAGAGAAAATATTGGATATTGACTTCAATTAAATAATTAGCACACAGGTATGTCTTCTATAACATTAGAAAATCCACTGTAACAACCTGTGTTTCAGAGAACATGAAAAAAAACAAAGTAATACTGGAAGGAGCCAAGCAATATCTTGTACTGTTACACAATTACACACACACACGCACGCACACACACACACACACACACACACACACACACACACACATAGTCTTCTTCTGGAGGTAAGTACTAGAGACCGCCTTCCCTGGACTTCTGTTGTTGAACTCTGCCCAATAAAAAGAGGAATGGAAAAACCTCTCTGTTTTTGTGAAGACTCAAGGTCTCCTTCTCTGCCTCTGTCCATTTCTGCCCCACTGCCTTATGGGAAGTCTCAGACATGGTCCCCGATGGTGACAATGGACTCGACCTGAAACTTGAGTCTCCTCTGGACCTGGCAGTGAGGATGCCTGGCAAATCTTTCAGCTGTGCTGTCAGTGGGAAGAACCAGACCATGGGCCCAAGCTCTCTGAACTCCCAGGCCTTGTCTTGGAAGCACGGCTGGGAAGTGGCAGGGAGAGGACTGTGGATGTGTCCAAGAAGGGAGGAGAGGCCTGGGTGCTGCAGCTCTGAGGGGAACAGAAGCCCTGGGAGCCCCACCTGCCGAGCTGTGCTGCCCGACTCAGACACCCGTCCCCTGTGAGACCTCCCTGGCCAGGCTGTCCCCTGCAGCAGTGTTCAAAGCACCTTTGCTTCTGGTTCCCACCCTCCTCCTAATCCCCCCTAACTTGAAGAATGGTACTTACTGCGAGAAAACCTTGATGAAAATGAATACTTCCCAGTGTTATCTTTGCTCAATCTCATCAAGCTCAAATTCTCAAAACAAACAAACAAACAAAAAACCCCAAAACAACTAAAAAGGAGCTGAAATTTTCTAAGAGACTTGTTTCTTGATATAATTAATTTTTATGCTTTTGTGCATTCATTTTTCTTATTCTGAGATAAAATATATTAAGGTTAGCTCTTGATGAAGTGGAAACCCTTGGAGCAGGTTTTATCCAGAAAGAATCAGAGGACGGAATCGTGTATGTGAACAGGGCAGTGGGCGCCTTCCCTCCCCACTAGTAACTCAAGGTGCTCAGGTAATGGGAGCTCAGAGTAACACGACCTTGGTCATCTTCCGGGCCTAATTTCCAGGGAAGGTTGCTTGGCCTGATTAAAAGGACTAAAGTTCGAACACCACATTCACAAAGATTTTTTTTCCTCCCTTGGAGGACACCTCATTGTTATAATCCTTGAAATTATTGCTGAAATTAACTTTTTTCCTTTGCAAATTGAAAAACAATGTATAGATTTGCAGAGAATAATTTTGCATTGAAGAGATCAGTCAGGACTTTTTGACTAAGTTGCTGGAAAAGTTATTTCCAGAGAGCTATCTTTATGACTATGAATATAAGTGATGGAATATAAAAATCTTTCCATGAAATATTTTATACTTAAAAGTATGACTTGACCATAGAAGTCATAGATTATTAAAAAATAGAAAACAACAAAATTTAAAAAAGATTATGAAAAAATTCAATACTCCTTAATATGTTGCTTTTAAAATTGTTTCTCCAAAGTGTTTGCCTTTGTGCTTCTGTAGCTTATTGGGAAGCATAATTCTAGCTTTACCTAATTATTATAATTCTGTGTGTTCTATGTCATCCTAGCTAAATAGCTGAGATATCAGAATGGCCCATGACTCTGGCAGGCTGACATTTTATCACGCAGCACACTCATGTGTTACGTATTCTGTGGTGTCCCATCCCTCACCAGGCAAACCGAGCATTTCCAGCTGATGCCTGGACATCTTAAGGCGTCACCGCAGTGACATCTCTATCCTGGTTTGTTTGTCACCTGCTTCATCTCTGTAGTTGCTGTCTCAGTCTGTTTAATGTTGCTTTGTTTTGTAAGAGGAAAGTGAACAGAAAGACACAGTGGACCCTGAATCTATCTTAATTTTTTCATTTTCCATTAATTCATGAACAAATAATACCCAAGTTGCTCATATTCCCAGCCCTGGCTCCTGGTTGTCTGGGTCTCCCATGCAGTGACACTCGGTTTAATCAGAGCGGCTCCCATAGAGCAACAGATTACATTATGCCTATGTAGTAACATAATAAACTCTTCTCCACTCCATGTAACAAAGAAAATTAATCAGCTTACGGTTAATTAAAATTAAAGCCTTTCTTAAAGAAAAATGTCAAGTACAGGGTCACAAAGTCTATTCATGGGTTTGCCAAGAAAAACTGATATAACATATTTTTTAAATCATGAAAAGACAAATAACTGATTGTAAGATAAACTACTCCTTATAAAAATAACCAAAGAATGTTCATTGGAAATAGTACATAAATATACGGAATTACTAAGACATTTATGTGATGAAAGAAGAGCACTAAAAACATATCAAACAGTCAATATTTATTAAATTCCTAATCCTAACCACAAAGAGAGACAACCAGGAATATCTACAAGTATAGATTCTACAAAATACAGACATTGAAGCTAAATAAAAAAGATTGGAAGTAATATTAATGTAATAAAGGGCCTACTTTTGTCGCTGACTTGAAATTATGAGTACTATAATACATTTTAACCTTTTTGGATAAAATAATTAAGTTTCAAATTATTAAACTATTGGTAAATGTCAATTATTAAAATAGAAACTTTGCACTTTGAAACGTAAAATGATGCATGTTTTGGTCTCTACATAGCTCATGGAAACACAACTAACATCTATTATTGCTCAGTGATTTCTAAATTGCCAAATTCAGTACATTTTAGGTTCAAAGCACTATAAAAGGAAAGTAGTCATCTTTCTCCTATACTGAGTACATGGTGAACGCACATGATTTAATTTTACAAAGTTTATCTGACAGTAAACTTTATGGTGAATAATAAAGTGACAAAGATTACACAAGAAATGACAGAAATTGAGTGAAATATACATAGATGATTAAGAGCCACTGAATTAGAAAAACATGCACAAAACAGGCAACAATGGTTGTGTATTTCTCTTTTACATATAATCATTTTCTAAATTGTCTTCAACATTAAGATATCTCACTCTCCTATAACTCAATTCTACTTCAACATATTACCTGATCCTAAAGTAGAAACCGCTGCCCTATTCTTTTAGCTGTGTGCTAGTGTGTAAATTAAATTGAAGAAAAGATATTTGCAAAACACAAAGGAACACGACTCAGAAATATGTAGAGTCCATTATGTCAAAGTACAATAGCATTCCTAGTTTTCCGGTGTTAATGGCAGGCACATATTTTATTGTCTTAAAAGGTGTATGTCCATCATCTGATGAGAGAGGCATGGAATTCTTATATATCATGCAGGTGGCCATACTGAGTCTTACTATTTCAGTGTACTCCTGTTTGTCAGTAGAAAAGAGAAGCAGCAGAAGTAGAATCTTAATCCAGTAATCTAGACTTGAAAGCAATTACCCTAAACTGATAATCATGATAAACAGATAGACATATGAAAAAGGAGGTGTATTTTCATTGTCAAACTACTTTAAAGTAGAGGTTTGCAGAAATCTTATATTGATGCAGTTTACAAAATTGCAAAATTTTTCACATTTTGCATAAAATTTTCTTTACTCACAGCATAGATTATTTGCATCTTGGATTCAGGACTAAATTTATGACTCCAAATTATAAAATGAATTTGTAAGTACCTGCTTCTCCAAATATCCAAGATCATGTTTGTTAAGTAAAGAGCAGCTGGAAATGGCAAAAAAGATTCAATTTTTGTAGAATGAGAACAAATAATTTCTTAGAAGAAAAAAAGACAAGGGCAAAAGTGAAAATGTCTGGTATCACTGTTATTTTAATTGTCTACAACCATCTCTCTTCTGCAGGACTCTCAAGGCAGCGTTCTTCACCTCTTTGTTTCTGAGACTGTAAATAAGAGGGTTCAGCATGGGGACCACAATCGTGTAAAACACAGAAGCCACCTGATCCTTTCCCAAAGCATAGGATGACTTTGGTTTTAGGTAACTAAAGATGGTAGTGCTGTAGAAGATGGTGACTCCCAGGAGGTGGGAGGCACAGGTGGAGAAGGCTTTTTTCTTTCCTGCTGTGGAATTAATTTTCAGGATAGTGGAGAGGATGGACAGATAGGATCCAGATATGGTGATGAGGGACAGCACTATATTCGACCCGGCGCAAATGAATATAATGATTTCAGCCTCAGTGGTGTCACTGCAGGATAGGGCTAAAATTGGGGATGTGTCACAGAAGAAGTGCTGGATGGCTTTAGAGTTGCAGAAGTGCAGTCGGGTCATGGAAACCTCAATCACAGTGGAATAAACAAATCCCATAACATAGCAACCAGCAAGCAGGGCATGGCACAGTCTTGTGGACATAGTGATTGGATAGTGCAGGGGCCTACAGATAGCTACATAGCGGTCATAGGCCATGGAGGAGAGAAGGAAACATTCTGTGGCAATAAATACAATAAAAAAGAACATCTGGGTGAAGCAGCCCAGAAAGGAGATGCTTTTGTTGGAAGTCAGTAAGTTCTGTAAGGTTTTAGGGGTGATGACACTTGAGTAGCTGAGGTCGAGAAATGACAGGTGAGTGAGAAAAAAGTACATGGGGGTGTGGAGCTGGGGATCCAGGCGAATGATCAGTATCATCCCTGCGTTCCCCAGCACTGTGATCAGGTAAATCAGGAGGAAGAGCACGGAGAGGACCAGCTGTGTCTCTGCAGAGCCCATCAGCCCCATGAGGATGAAGCCAGACACACTGGTTGAGTTCCATCTACCCATGGTGTCCTGCTGCACTTATCTGGTGAATAATAAATTTTAATAATTGCTGTGTCTCCAAAAATATTTTCTATATGTGAATTCCTCAGTATTTTATAGCCTTCCTAGAAATTAATGAAAACCATTATGAAGAAGACGGAAAAAATATAATTCAATGGCCATGTGTAGATATGGTTGTAAAATGACACTCGTATTTGATATATTAACTTATTCTACCCTATTTTTATCATGAAACCGATGCTATTTTAAACTCTGTGTCATTAAGTCATTCAATTCTCAGGAACACATCATACCATAACAACACTATCCACATCCTTAACTTAAGAAAAAGGGCACAGAGGTTACTTACATGAAGCAGAGCAGGTCCATATTGCTGCTGATTCTACCTGGATATTTTAATTCGGATAACAGATTCATAATATGTGTTGCTAATCAGAACTAGTTTTACCAATCCCGAATGAGGTTCTATAATTAACCATGCTGAAAACCACTTTTAGTGTATTATTCATGGTCCTTTGGTTCCTAAAGACTTGTTTTACTAATCAAAGTTGTTTCTGTCTGGGGATTTAGGTGATTCACAATATTATATTACTGAAGATATAGCAGCAGACACAACAAAATTAATCTTGAAGTCTTTTCAATAGTTTTTGTTGCTGTTGTTTTTTTACATGGGGATCAAACTTGGGACCTTGCACTTGCAAGGCAGGTGGTGGAACCACTGAGCTAAATCCCTGGCCCAATCTTTTCGATTTTTACTAATAGCCTGCTTCTCCAGTGTCCCCTGGCAGAGACCAGGAATGCTCTTCCTGTCCTCACACAAAGGACTGCACACTGAATTAATGCTGAGTCTGAAACATATCATGACTCCCTGAACAGAAGATTCAGGCCCCGCCACAGGAGGTCAGGTCTGCTTTAATTTGGAAAAGGGAGGCAGGGAGCTTGGAGTCACCTGGACATAAAAGCCCTGGCAGAAATTAACTCAGGCAGACAAAAAGTTGTGGGTAGAACACGCTTCTTTTTGTCTCTCAAGTGGAGTAAACTCTATTCTTTCCATCAAAATAACTTTTTTCCAACTTTTTTTTTGTTTTTTTTTTTTTTTTTCCAGCACAGCCAAAGGCAGAGAACCTTCAGCTCTGGTAAAAATGTTATTTTAACTTGTCAACTCAAAATCAATGTTCATCAAAAAATTATATTTTAGAATATGTACATTGCTGGAATACTTTGACGCAGACTCTATATTCCTTTTTCCTCATTTCTGAACATTACTTATGGTGAGGCCGAAAAGATGAGTGTGTGTGTGCGTGTGTGTATACGTATTTTTTTGGATAAAATCCTCTTTATCTCATCTAGTATAATCCCCTCCTGTTAGCAGAATGATACTTACTGTGCATCCAAGAGGTTGAAAAACCTGACTTCCAATGTTGTCTGCTTAGAAATTTGTGAAGCCCAAAATATTCTCAGGAATAAAATAGGAAACCATAGAGTGAGATGAAAATTATTGAAATCTGTTTGTTTTTCTGAGGGTAACATATCTTTATGTTTTTCTGCATGCATAGTTTTATTCCGAGAAGAACTTCATCACCCTAGAAATTTTGTCCAAGTCTAGATAGAATGGAGTCGTCACCCTGAAGTTTCCTCTGAGAAGAGTCTGAGGAGGAGCTGGGAATGGAGACAGAGCAGTGTGTGCCTCTCCTCCCAGTCAGCCTCATATACGGTGCATTCAGGACACCGCAGCCTTTGCTCATCCTCGGGGAGCAATTTCCAGGGAAGATTCCTTGGCCCGACTCCACGAAGAAAAGTTTGAGGGTTTAATGTACACAGATTTTGTCTCTTCCCTCAGAAGTTCCACAAAATCCTAAACACTTTATCTTCTCAGTGATGGTCCAAGTTTCTGCTGAAATTCTTGTATTTATTCCTTAAATTGACTCATAGTCATATACACTTGCCAGGAATAATGTTTACATCTGAGGGTTTAGTCAGGATTTATTGTCTAGAATTATAGAGATGGAATTACCCAGGGCAGACTTTCTTTATATTTGGCACTATGAAGGATGGAACAATAAACATTTTCTCCTGAAAAAGTTTTATACTTAAATGAGTGAGTTGGCCTTAGACACAACTCTTACTCTCTAGAAAAACGTAGAAAACATTAAAATCCAAAGAAAAAAGAAACATTCAAAAGTTGTTATTGTTTGTTTATGTAACAGTAATTTCCTCCAGTCTTTTACCTTTTGTGAGCAAAAATTAATTTGGGAGTGTACTTTTGAGTTTTCATAATCATTTTACACTGGATACCTTACCCGAAATTTATGACTAAATATGTTTGCCAGGACCAGTTAATGTGAGCTGTCCCCCCTGGACTGCTGTTGCATCACCATGAGCTGTGTTGAAGGAAGAACAACTGTTCATGGTTTGCTGTGCTGTATTATGTTCCATTAAAATTATATGTATATCGTATGACGGTCTGACCTGGCACTGTGTCACAGTTGATAATAAATTATTTCAGAAAAATAACTTGTAATTTGTGAGCTATGCAGTGATCTAATAGAATAAGTGGGCAATGGTAAGTCAATTATTTGCTTGTTTCTGATTACCATTGAATTGTATTAGGTGTAGTGAATCATTTCCTATGAATGTTTTACAGCATGTACTTTTAAAAAAACTTGTTACTCTCAATTTAATGAAAAATTTAAGAATTTGTTCACAGTAAATGTCATTTATAAAGTCATAGTTTCAATTGAGTGCTTTGCCCCAAAATACCTGGAAAATCTATGTAAATTGTAGAAATGCATACAAATTAAAACAGTATAAAGTCAAAAAGATGGGAAAGTGGGGAGAGACCACAAATACATGAAATAACAAAGATATGTTTGTGATGAGAGATGAGCCCAAACAACATATAGAGGAAGAAGCATTCATTAAAATCTTTCATTATGTTTAGCTATGAGAATGAATTACAGTTGAGATCCACCATCATGCTGCTACAAAGTTCAAAAGATAGATACTGTGTATGTGTGTCTGAAAAGCTGTATTTCTATGACTTAACTACATGGAGTCCTCTCTCCTCTGCAGGATTTTTAAAACACTGTTGTTCACCTCTTTATTTCTGAGTCTGTAAATGAGAGGGCTCAACATGGGATCACAATCGTGTAAAACACAGAAGCCACCTGATCCCTGCCCAAGGAGTAGGATGTCTTTGGTTTTAGGTAAGTAAAGATCGAACTGCTGTAGAAGATGGTGACTCCTAGGAGGTGGGAGGCACAGGTGGAGAAGGTTTTCTTCTTTCCAGCAGTGGAATTAATTTTCAGGATAGTGGAGAGGATGGACAGATAGGATCCAGATATGGAGATGAGGGACAGCACTATAGTGGACACAGCAAAAGTGAATATTGTGATTTCAACATCATGAGTGTCACTGCAGGACAGGGATAGAACTGGGGATGAGTCACAGAAGTGCTGGAGGACATGAGAGTTGCAGAAACGCAACCTGCTCATGCAAACCGCATTCCCAGAGGAGTCTATGACCTAAACATAGAGGACCCAGTTAGCAGGGCCCAGCTCAGTCCTGTAGAATAATTACCCGATAGTGCAGAGGGTCACTGATAGCTACATTGTGATCATAGGCCATGGAGGAGAGAAGGAAACACTCAGTACCTCCACAGAGTACAAAAAAGTACATCTGGGTGAAGCAGCCCAGGAAGGAGATGCTCTTGCTGGAAGTCAGTAAGTTCTGTAAGGTTTTAGGGGTGATGACACTTGAGTAGCTGAGGTCGAGAAATGACAGATGAGTGAGAAAAAAGTACAAAGGAGTGTGCACACACACAGTTACAAATTATTCCTCCCTTGGTTGCATTCCTGACTCTTCAATGCCCTCTCTATTGAGAATGAGGGTGACCGCAGAAGAAAGCATCTGCATGCTCTGCGTGCAGGTCCTGACCAAAGGCCCAAGTTCCTGGTACACCCAGCCCTTGCTCTTGGTCTCGTGATTCTCCAATGCCTATGTTCCCCTGGACTCAATCGGATCGGCTCCCATAGATCAATAGATTGCACTGTTTTATGTAATGACATAATATAACTGTTTTCCACTTCAAGTAACAAAGAAATTAAATTAGTTTTAATTTAATAAAAATTAAAGATTTTACTTAACCAAAATGTTTTCTACAAGGTCACGCATTCTATTGATGGGTTTGCTAAGATAAACGGATAGAATATATTTTCTAAATCAAGAAAATACAAATAAATCAGAAGATAAAATTACACCTTATAAAAACACTCGGAGAGTTGGGCATGGTGGCTCATCCCTGTAATCCCAGCATTTGGGAGACCAGATAGGACGATCACTGAGAGTTCGAGACCAGCCTGAGATACATAGTGAGTTTCAGGTCAGTCTCAACTACATAGTGAGGCACTTTCTAAACATCTCCCCCCCAAAAAAAAACCAAAACAAAAAATACAAAAGTAAAACACCTGGAGAATAGAAAGTGTATATTGGAAATAGTCCATAAATATATGAAAGTACTAAGACCTTCTTGTGAAGTGAGAGTAGTTCTAACAATATATCAAGCAATAAATATTTATTAAATTCTTAAGCCTAATCACAAAGAAAAACAACCAGGAATATCTACAAATGTACAAAAGATAGATATGGAAAGTAAATAAAATGCAGTGTTAGGTAATATTGATGTAATATGAATAATTTTTCATTGATTTAAAAATATTATAGTTTTAAATTATTACAACATTGTTAAATCATAATTCTTAACATAGAGATGTTGAACATTAGACACAACATGATAAAATATTCTTACATAAAATAACTTATATATATATAATCACATTTGGAGTAAAGCAATCCATGCAACATTTTTGTTTTGTTTTGTTTTGTTTTGAGTACCGGGTATTGAACTCCGGTCCTTGTGCTTGCAAATCAGGCCACTGAAACGCCAAGCTAAATCCCCGGTTCATGCAACATTTTTATACAAGTTGACATACAATATCTTACTT